ACCTGGTGGAGGGTCCTGACCCGAATCCCAGCTGGCGCTGGGAGTCCCTATGCTGGGAACACTGGGAGAGGGCTGCCCGTCAGGCCAGGATGGGGCCCTGATGTGGAGCCGGGATGGAGGACTGAGGTGGTGGTGACAAACCTCAGTGCCACCATCCCAGCAGCTGGCACTTGGTGGCGAAGGCAGCCCTGAGGAGAGCAGCGATGTGGGGTGGGATCAGCGTTGTTCTGGGTGCCGCAGCTGCTCCCACCTTGTCAGGGACCTGGCGAGGGACTGGCGTGGCACAGACGGTTCCATCCCACAGGTGGGGTTTCTGCCTGAAGGGAGATTTCCTAAATTCTGAAGAAAAACTGGCGAACGGGATTGGGAATAATGGCAGAGACATCAGGGATGATGAGGACAGCAGAGACAGTGGGGCCACCAAACATCAGGAGGCTCCCCAATGTCAGGCCCAGACAAGCCTGTCTCACACTCTCTGGGATGTTCCAGCAGCCACCAGCCCCTGGACCTGGTACCCAGAGGTGTTCCAGGGGAAATTGGGCACCTCGTGCATCCAGGGACCTCCTTGCTCCGTGTGCTCCAGCTCCTCAGCGGCGGCTGAGTGCGATGGCTCTGGTGACAGCGCTGAGCACTGTGACACAGCTCCCAGCCCCCCGGATCCGGCTGCCCCGTCCCAGCCCGGCAGGGCCGTCCCCGAAGCCTTTCCGGAGCAGATGGCAGCGGCGTGGGGAGGACGGAGGCGGCTCAGCGCGTCCTTCCTTTCATGCACACACAGCATGAAATCCCACAGTGATTCCCGGCGGCTCCGGCTCCGGCGGGAGGTGCCCCTGGGGCCAGCGCTGGCCGAACATTTCACACGGGTTCAGCGAGCTTAGTCCTCGGGGACAGGCGACTCAGGAAGATTAGACCTCGCTAAAATAGGCAGGTATTAGTGATCTCAGCAGCCCCCGGCCTTCCGGCGCGGCGGCATTTAAGCCAGCGCTGCTGCTGGAGCGCCCAGGACAGAGTCCCTGGCGGGGCAAGAGGCGGCCGGGCGCCCTGGCCTGGCCAGAGGGATGCCCCTGCTGCTCGCACTGGCAGAGGATGCTTGAGCACAGGAGTAAATGCTCCACGCCTTCTCCCGGTGCTGTCCCCGAGGGACAGCCAGGGTGATCACTGGGTCCCAGTGGGGGCTGCTGCAGAAGGCGGGGACGGACCCAGTGGCCAAGCATCCTGGGCTGGTTGGTGGGTCAGGGGACATGGGGCAGCCCGGCTCCAGTCACCGTGTCCCCTCACCAACCAGGACAGGGACTGTACGGGTGCGGGATACGGCGGGACGACCAGAATAGTGCCGGCAAATGCTGTATTTATTGAGCCGAATGGAAACCGGTGCCAGGGCTGGTGAGGGGGGGTAACAGTCAAGGACCTGCCCCATATGGGCGCTCACACCAGGAGCACACCGAGGCACCTGACCATAACGGCTGCACACGCTGGGAAAGCTAATGGGAATGGTTTTGGGGAAGAAAATCCACACCTAATATGTGTATTGGGACCCGCACTCCAAGCAAAGACACGCAGAGCCTCCGCGCTCCGTGGCTCCCGGGGCAGGAGCTGCCGGTGCCCCCGGGGCGGGCACGGAGCTACATCAGGGC